TTTTTTTTTTAGCAAGTTCCTGGTCAAAATCTCACTGGTGGACTTAAAGAGAATAAATACATACATATACAGATAAGTACGTAAATAAAATCCTGAACTTTACTACAAAGACTACGATATACAACGTAACGTAAAATTTTTAATATAACCACTAAAATCAGTAATCAGTACTATAGTCATATGGGTGTGAAACACGAAAAAACAACCGAGGATGTGCCGTTTAAACACGCAGCACTAAGAACAAATCAAAGATATTTTAAATGAAGGCTCTTTCAGCCTTCTACCCGTTTTAAGTGTGGGTTATTCTACACATCCAGTTTTTAGAAGTATAGAGCTCATGCACTTAGACAATGCTCCAAAATAACTACCCAAATAAGTACCCTGTGCTGACCACCGAGAGGCGACACTTTGTTCTTGAAGGACTTTAACCTGTTACTGAAAGGTGTGCCATTATAGTGATGCCTGCTGTTACAGTGACAGGTATAAAGCGCCTTTGTGTTACCATGACATCATGAAGAACTCACATTGGCTTTTGTTTACGATGCTAGACTAGCTAACCCAAATGCTAAATGCTAAAATGAAAAAAGCACAAGGGTCTTTTTTGGGGAAAAATTGTCGCTAAAAGTTTGAGAGCTTTTAATAACGTGCAGTTTATTTTTTTTTAAATAAAGCTGACGACACAGCAAAGAACATATTGAAGCTAGCACGGCGTTTAGCACGAATGGCTAACGTATACGAGCTAAGCCTCGAGTTGTCGGGAAAGCTACCATCACGGAAACGGAGATTACATAAAAGCAGCTCTGCTTTTCTACATCTCATAGTCTCACTATAGTTGCACGCACTTCAAATACACCACAGCGCTGCTGTGGAAGAATAAAGAAAATAATTTACCTGAGAATTTCTTCAACGTACCCTTCCAAGCTAGGTGATAGCACCCCTATCTTCTTCTTTGCTTTCTTTCTGCTGTTGCTGCTCCTTCCTCTTTGCGTTTATTAGGTGAGAACCTTCAAATGGGCACAGCGCCACCCATCGAACCGGAGAGTATAAAGTGATAAAATGACATGCTGGGGTACATTTGTTTCCATTTTTGGATATTTTCATCTTTATTTGTTTTTTGCTTTCAAATATATTTTTACGTCTAGATGGTTTCACTTCAGACACTTCAGGATTACCTTTAAATTATTTTGTTGTGCTTTAACTCATATTCATATATCTACTTCCTATAACATATACATTAGTAAATTTCACTGGTAATCTAATTGTAATGTTGTAAACTGTGAAAGAGGTGCTTTTACATTGATCTGGATAATCCCTCCACCATAAGAACTATTTTCTACCTAAGACACAACCACAGTGAAAACAGTCAAAAATTGAAATTATAATTTCTATAAAGGATTAACAAAAAACATGTCTGGTTTCTCATCAGACAAAGGATTCTGGTAACTTAGTCACGAGAAGCCAAAGAAAGTATGTGCACACACAAAAAGTCAAACACCACTGACAACATGTAAACCTGCAATTTAAACACAAAAAGCTTGAAGAAAGCACATTTATTTGAATCTCATCTCAGTAATATGCCATAGCGTACAGTATATTGCTCCATATTACTCCAAAACCATAAATGTACATGCCCACAACACTCAGCTGTTAGCAGTCCTCTATCTTCTTGGCAGACAGAAGCTTTCGTGTTGGATAGATGACAAAAGGGAAAGCAGGCTTATAACACTGACACTTACAATCATCATGTTTGTATACCTCACTAATGAGTTTTATTCTGCTGTGCACTGCTTTTTTATTTCATTGATTGAAACATTGATGAAACAATGGTTTTCTACATGGTACCTACAGGCTTTGGGGATGGACAGTAAGGACAAAGCAGACATGGAGTAAATTATAAGCTGTGGCAGGACAGGAGGTTCAAACTTTTTTGATCGTCAACATCTGAGCTTGTACATTTTTGTACAAGAGGTAACCAATCAATATAAAGTTGGTTCAAAGGGAGTTAAATGATAAACTGTACAGTATAAGAAAATTAGGTTCATTCTGAATTTGTGAACAAAGCTGCTTAAAAAGACCAAAAATAAAGAGCAGGAAATGAAAATAATACGTCCCTTTAAAGATTAATTATTCAATTTCTCCTAAACAAACTGCAACTCTGAATCTCAACTCAGCATCACTTAATCATTTAGACGATTTCTTAAAGGTTTATTTAAAATGCTCTTACAGAATGCAAGGGCATTAATGTAAAATATTCAAGCTATGTGACCAGCTTGTTGGTCTTTTTTTTTTTTTAAAATGCTCCACAATTTTTCTATCAAATCTAGTAAAAGTGGTGCAGTCGTAAAAGAAATGTTGGCTCAAAGTCTTCTTTAAATCTGAGGCTGTCTATAGACAAAAAGAGACGTTTGATAGAACGAGTGCTGACATGCGATGGTGCAAAATTTAAAATTGATATTGGCTGTGAATCTAGAAGGATGTGGGTTTAAAACAAAGGGAAAGAAAACTCCAAATATCATCCTTCAGTTGGCCACAGAGCAACAGAACTGTAGGCTTATCACATTCAGTCTGCCCCGGATTTAAGGACAAGTTGCCAAAAACTACAATTATTGTGCGTCTTGAAGATTTTAGCAAACACACTTAGAGTCCAGCTGCTCCAGGACCAGCAATGATTTGCTTTGCAGTAAGAGCGAAGCCTCATGTCTACATCTTACCATTTATTTTGTTAAGATGTTCTTTTGGAAACAAGTTATCACTGGTTGGTATCCTGTATGAGATGCCTGAACTAAGTGAATGAATAACACCCAAGAAAAGGTAGTGTATGTTGTGCAATGAAAGTAAAAATTGTTCTGCGTTCATTATAAATCCACACTGTTCTTCTTCTTCTGTATGCCAATGACTTCATATAACATACAGTCCAAATAAACCAGCAATGCGCAGAAAGGTAACACTGTTTGACAAGAAAACATTTTCTCAAAGTAGATTTTGTCTTGAGCTGAAAAACCAGACAACTTAAACATTTTAAAGATATGTCAGTTCTCTGCTGAGACTCTGAGCCCCAGCTTAGTGGCTTTAGTGGAGGGCAGAGGTCAGAGGTCAGGTTAGCGGGTCACTGCTGCGTAAGCTGAACTCTCCTCTCGATGTGAGATATCTCCAGTATCGGCGTAAGGAGCTGGAAGGCATCCTGGATGTAAGATGCACTGTTGGATGCCTGTGTGGGATTTAAAAAAACAAAAAACACGTTAGTATGAAATATCAATCTCCAAATGTCCATACTAATGTCTGTTCATCTATATGGGGTGCAATCATAAAGTCTTAAAACTCAAACTTCTACAAGCAGAGATCCTGATGAAGCAGGATGAAGTGGTGTGGAGGAACTAGCCAACCAATTTTAAATCAGCTTTTGCTTTTTATATGCAGAACTTGGTCACACTTTGTATAAAACACCATAAAAATCAAGTCTCAGCACAGTTTTCTCTGACTATTAGAACGTAGCTTTCGTGTTGAATAGCTGTCAATCTTCTCCTGACATCTTTTTTTTTTTAAACATTTATTTATTGGTTTTAACCGGTTTTACATGGTGCACCGTGAGCAAAATAAATAAATAAATAAATAAAATAAAATAAAATAAAATAATAAAGTAAAAATTAAATAAAATAAATAAATAAATAAAAAATAATAAAGTAAAAATAAAATAAAATAAATAAATAAAAACAAAACCACAACATCAACAGAAACAACATAATAATAGAAACAAAAACAAAGCAAACCATAACAGAAGGGAAGGACAGATATACAAATCAAGTTAGAGTTTCAGGCTGTTAAGTCCACAGGTTGCAGTTCTCCAGAAAGTTGTAGAATTTTGACCATATAGCCCAAAACTAGTCCAGTTTATATCTTAATGTATAAGTTATTTTCTCCATAGATAGTATAGATGTCAGTCCATTAAGCCACTGAGATAGTCCACATATTTTTTGATTTTTCCAACACATAGCAATACAGCGCTTGGCTTCCAAAAGTCCAGTCGTTAACAGAGCTCCATTGTTTGCAGCAGGTACAAAATTATTCGGGTATATATTTAAAAGACATCTCCTGACATCTAGTCATGTTTCAGTCATGAGCTGAAATAACTTTTCTTGGACAAAAGTCTTAATTTACTCTAATATCATGGTAGCACAGTCCTTGTCAAGACAACCAAACGTTAAAGTGCTTTGAGCAGCAGATAAATAAATTGTTTTGTTTATTTTAGCTTGTAAATATTTTTGATATACTTTTCTTACAATTAAGTAACAACGACAGTCAGATAACTGATTCTGTTCTGTTCTTCTGCTGAAGCAATGAGCTGATACGACTTCTTAGTTTTAAATTACAGCAAATGATTACATTGAGGTTTCTCCATAACCTTACTGGCTGGAAAAATCAGACATCTCAAGTAAGTCATCAGGAATTTTACAGACAACACAACTAAGGAAATACAGACTAAATGGAGAAGGTTCGACAATTGACCCCTGTGGGACACCAAATCAAATTTAAAAGGAAAGACGAGAACGCTTCTTGTTTTACACGAACGGACCTTTAACTGACATACTGACATAAAGTAGACGGTGCCAGAACCCCTGGGGTGTTGTATGTATTTGAAAAACAAAAACATCTTGGACAATTCATTAATGAACATATGTTGGCTGCAGTGATATGACACAAACCTCTAAAAATACTCCTGTTATCAGGGGGTTGAGGACTTCTCCCTTCTCGTTTGACTGTAAAACAGAAAAAGATTAAATTAAAATGATCTCTCTGTGGAACAAAGAATTAGTGGTTTGGAAAAGAAAACACTGCAAAGAGAAGCATAAATTAGAGTTTGACATAAAAACAGAAAAATGTGGATGGAAACAAAATGATGAAGTTTGTGGCTAATGCAGATCTCCTTCTAAAATGATATTTATAATATAATAACTGTGAGACATTATCAGCTGAACTGCTTACTATGATTCCTTATCAACAGTGTGATAATATGAAGAAATAATAAACACGTGGAGGTCAGATTAACAATAAATGACATCAGTGGAAAATAAAACATCTGTTACTGTTAAATCTAAGTGTGGTGGGGCAAATGCTTTACAAGCATCAGGTATCAGTGACGC